GCCCCGCATCGGGCTCTGGGCTGATGGCTCAGAGCCTGGAGCCTGTTTCTGATTCTGTGTCTCCCTCTCTCTCTGCCCCTCGCCCGTTCATGCTCTGTCTCTCTCTGTCCCAAAAATAAATAAACGTTGAAAAAAAAAATTTAAAAAAAAAAAAAAAAAAAAAAGGGAAGACTCTCTATGTATTCACAAAGATACATCACTTTTTTCCTGAAATCTGTTGGGCTAGAAAATGAATTTACTCTTCTCCTCTCTAATAGGTAACACTAAAGAATCTTCAGATCAGAAAACTCATATTGAAAGAAAGAAAGAAAGAAAGAAAGAAAGAAAGAAAGAAAGAAAGAAAGGAGGGAGGGAAGAAGAGAGGGAGAGAAGTATGGAGGAAGGAAGGAAGAGAGAGGGAAAGAAAGAAAAGAAAAAAGGAAGAATGAAAGGAAGGAAAAGAAGAAAGAAAGCTATTAAACGCAAACACACCTTCACCCCACTTCACCCTTCACTTCCAGTTGTTCTTCTGTTTGTCAGTTTCTCTTTTGGAATTTAGGCTCCAATCCAAACACATCGCACCCAGTATGATTTGTTGAATGAGAAGAAGACCATCACTTCTCTTGTTCCAGATACTGTGTCTCTACTAATACAACCTGAGACCATGCTAGATTTTTGTGAACCACATTTCACAACCAACTTGTATTGAACTATAGTTAACTAACACTCCTAATCCATTTTCTGAATGCTATTCTGTAAGCCATTCTGTAACCAGTAGTTGGTCCGTTGTATTCAAGGACAGGGCCTTACATACATTTTAATAAAATTTAATTCTGAAAGATTTGTAGGATTTGTCCCAACCTTCTAGTCAAACTGAGATTTGTTTTGTTATTATGATTGTCTAATCCAATATAACGACTCTTTGCATTTTTTGTCTTCTGTTACCACACTCAGCATCCCATCAATAGGTTTAATTACATGATCCACAAGTCCAAATGTCACCTTTTTAGTAAGGTCTTCTCTTAATACTCTATTTAAAATTGACCCTCTCCTCAGTTCCAATACACTTCCTATACTCTTTCTCTGCCTTTTTTCCCTCCATTGCATGCATAATCATTTAATATACCATATATTCTACTCATGTTATTTATTATCTTTTTCGTCCTTTAGAATATAAACTCCATTGGGGTGGCAATTTGGGGCAGTTCTGTTCCATGGTGGATCCCATATTTGTTGTATGGATGGGGTTGAGGACATCAGTGTCCTTGTCCAGGTCAGTGAGAATGCTGAACATGGACAAGACCAAGGCTAGAATCCAATGCATTCTACTAGAGGTTGCTATTGATCTTCGTGTCACTTACAAACCCACTTAATGGTATTGGCATCCAGCCCAACTTGTCTTTATCCCAGAAGGATATTGAGAATTTGTTACATTTTTTTGCAGAAAATCAGATATTTCATGTTGGTGGTAGCCCTCAGATCTATCAATCTGGAAGTTCTTTCCAAAAAAAAGGAAGTGCGATTCATCTGACACAACTGATCGCTTCCTCTTTCTAACTGCATACAAATCACCCTTTTGATGACCGATTTTAAACCCTGCTCAGGAAGGACAGGGCATTTATCAATGACCTGTCCAAAGTCCATGATTCCCTGGAAGGGAGGTCTTTCCAGGTGTGAGGTCCCTCCAGGCGAATGTCTCTTGGCTTATTCACAGTGGGCATGTGCTCCCTAGGAGTGGAAGTGTTCAAATGATGGAGGTGACACCACTGACCCACTGACCCATAGCTTTAGATCCTGTTTGTTGTGCTGCATTGGAATATCTTATTTTTTTTCCCTTAGTGTCAGATTTTTAGTCTATAAAGTAAAAATGGTTAATATGATTTTCAAAAATATAGTATGATACTTTATTGATTACTATTTATTTATACCCTTTTGGTTTCATGTGCAATTATGCAGACAAGAAAGATCTGAGGTTTGGGATATGTTTAATTTATTTCTATTGCTCTTTGATCTAAAGGATTTATATTTCTTCTCTCCATTTCCTTTTTTTCCCATTCTTTCTGACACAACTGTGGTTGAGGGCCTTGTCATCTCAGCCCTGAATTATCACAATAGCTTTCTAATTGGCTCCAGGACTCCTGTCTCTTGCTTCTTCATCTTAGATTCTTCAGTCGGGCTAATTTCCTGGAACCCAGCTGTTCAAAATGCGGTCTATGGACCACAGCATCAGCATCTCCTAGGAGCTTGCTAGAAATGCAGATTATCAGGCCCTACTGAATGAGAAATTGCATGTCAACAAAACCTGTAGGTGACTCATACGTACATTGAAGTTTGAGAAGTACTATCTTCTTTTCTGTCATGCCCTTCTCCTGCCATTGGGCATCCATAAACTTCACATTGAACCATCCCTAAACTAACTCTGTCAGAAAGGTTCCACCTAATTTTCAGGTGAGGTGTGTTGACATGAAGATGCTAATGCCCACCTATACGACCTACTCATTGGGTCTAAGAATGATGAGCAAATTTATTTACATAACTCTAGAGCAGTAATAAAGCAGTAGTAAATTACTGAGATTTAACTTGAGTTGAATCCTTCTGGTAAAAGTAAAGTATTTTAGGAGTGTCTGGGTGGCTCAGTCGGTTGAGCGTCCAACTTCGGCTCAGGTCATGATCTTGCAGTTCGTGAGTTTGAGCTCCGCGTCGGGCTCTGTGCTGACAGCTCAGAGCCTAGAGCCTGCTTCAGATTCTGTGTCTCCCTATCTCTCTGCCCCTTCCCTCTCATGCTCTGTCTCTCCTTGTCTCTCAAAAATGAATAAACATTTAAAAAAAAAAGTAAAGTATTTTGATTTTTGATGAGTGAAAAGTAAGGAGTACTTGGGAAGCATATGGGACAGGTTGATTGGAAATGTTTTTCTTAGTTTGGCTCAGTGACAGGAATTTTAATATACTTAATTTGATCTTCACAATAATCCCACTTAGGTGGGTGTTATTATCCCCATTTTACATGTGAGGAAACTGAGAATCAAAAAGGTTAGGTGTTGCAGAACCACGGTATTGGTTAGAATTCAGGCTACAAACACCATAGTAACAAAGACATTTGGAAACTCAGTGGTTCAGACAAGTGGCTCTGTCCTGAGATGGACAGGTGATCCCAGGTGGGAAGCACTGATGCTTTGTGAGGTCACTCAGCTTCCTGCTCCCAAGTTGCTTCATCATCTCCCAGGATGTCCACCTCCATGTAGTTGAAGCCAGTTCCTGCCCTTGGGAACAGGGAAAGGGAAAGTGGAGAGCACACAATGATTTAATGAAAACATTAGTTTTCAAAACATTGGAAGTGTTACCTGTCACTTGTACTCACAGACTGTTAGTCAAAGCTTGATCACATGGTCACCCCCCAGTTGCAAAAGTGGCAGAGAAGTGTTGAAACCTGGGGAGTTGTTAACTAAACAGAAGAAGAGGGGGTGGCTATTAGGGGAAAATTGGAGGTCTTATAATAGGCACCATGCTGATTAGGGGAAGAGCCTAGATTCAAACTCTATGACTACAACCTATGATCTTTCCACCACATTATACCACCAGAGTTGACAATCAGTAAATGTTTGCTGTATTGAGATAAATTGAGATATTACATTTAAGCCTTTTGGTGATTTGAAATTACTTCTTCCTTCTCTCTTGCCTCCCTGATTACCTAAGTGGCTCTGTGTCACACTATCCCTATCTTTGATGATGTTAATTTGTAAAGCAGGAAACTGGTCTTCATCTTCCTTCAAGAGAAATGTCATAGAAGTTCAGTGGAACCCTATGAAGTATGAGAATAGGTGTTAATGATAATACTTTTTTAATGACCAAATGACTATCCCTTTTATTTTTTATTATTTTTATTTTTTTTAACTTTATTTATTTATTTTGAGAGAGAAAGAGTGTGCAAGCAGGGGAGGGGGCCAAGAGAGAGGGAGACAGAATCCCAAGGAGGCTCTACATGTCAGCACAGGGCCTGACATAGAGCTCGATCCCACAAATGATGAGATCATGACCTGAGCCGAGATCATGATCTGAGACACTTGACTCACTGAGCCACACAGGCACCCCATGACTATCCCTTTTAAAGTAGGTATTTTGTTAGGAGAAAGCCATTGCTCAAAATATTTGTTGATATTTTGTGTTGGCTGGTATATCATTCAACTCTTGCTGCAGTGATGCTTCATGACAACACCACCAAAATCTCAGAGGCATAGAGTAATAAGCACTTAACTAATGTGTATGTGGTTCTCTTGGGGGTCAGCAATGTGGACTGGGTGTGGCTGGCCAGCACTGCACCAGGTGTCTCTCAACCTCCTTCTGAGATAGCCGGTTAGCTTGGACGTATTTTTCTCTCACAGTAGCAGAAGCATAAGAGAGCAAGGGGAGATATGTGAGGCTTCTCGAAGCCTAGGCAAAAAACCTGTTAGCCAAAGCAAGTCATATGGGCAAATCCTCAGTCCAGGGAAATACCTACACCTTAAGCAAGAGGAAATGTAGTTACAGGGCAAATGGCATGAATACAGAATTGGTAAAGAGCTGGGGCCAATAAAGCAAATTATCATGGCTTTGCTTTTACCAAGTTATTGTGAATATTTATAATGATAGTAAATCTTTATCTTTTAAGGGTAGCTTTGAATTTCTTTTTAGAAAAATAGCTAAATTTATGAATAAGATTAGAGAATCAGTCTAGGTTTATCTTTGGGCAAAAAGGTAGCTGTTAAAGCATGAGGCATAAAATAAGGAAACATTTCTAAAGGAACTGGTCAAGAATATGGCATTCAGGGGCAGAATAGTTGGGATAAATGTACAGCCTTCCAAAGTGATCAGCTCATTGAAGGAATAACACTGATTTGGTTCTAAAATAATTTTTTTAAATAAACTTTATGGCTTGTAGTCACATGTTACCGCTTTGTCTCAAAGTGGGAAGGGGAGTGAACAGAGGTTCATCTCTGATATGATACCCCTTTGACTAACTCTGGGAAAATATGCTTTATGTGCAGATTCTCATTGCCAAGTCCCCTCTGGCTCCCTTCACCTCATTTGCTTATACCATCCAGAAGGAAGGCCTGGTTCTTCAAGGTAAGATCCTTGATTAAGCCGTTTCTTTAAGCTGATTATGCTCACTGCTGCCTACCACTGGTGATAATTACTGCCATGCTCCTGATAGAAGCTGCTTCAGGGCAGAATCAAAGGCCAAGATGAATTCACCAATGATATTTATCCTGATGAGATCAAAAGAGATTGATAATTGTGGCAAGAACATAACAGAAGGTGGAGGTGAGGCTGAGGGAAAACTAGAGAATTTCCTAATAGAGTGAGGCAAAGAATGAGAGTTAAAGCACTAATCTAGGAACTGCCAAAAGCTGGTGCTCTTTGCAGACCCTGTGGAGTGAGGAACCAGACAATAAGCCTCTGATGAGAGTGTGGAGGACCCAGCATTGCCTCAGAGCCCTCTTGCTTACCAAACTGAAAAACCGTCTGGTCTGGCAGCCTGGGAGACACTTTGTCATGGCTCCTTGGCCACTACTTTCTCGGCCCCTTTCTGGTTACTCCATTTCTGTTCCCTTTACTCAAGTCCCGACTGGGGACCAGGCCTTGCTGACCTGTACCATGTGACCCGGGCCTAGGACTTAGAAGGAGCTGAGTTCTGGCTCACAATGGAGCGCCCCAAGGCCACAGCCTGGAGCTCACTGATGTACAGTGGTGGTTCCCAGACGCTGGGTCTTCTGGTGATTGCAGGTCTGTCCAGAAAATAATGAACATGAGAGGCAAACTCAAACACTGTTGAACTTAGCCCACAGGGCCAGTTGTCCAAAGCTGCTTTGTAGATTGAGAACGGTCTCCACCGAAGACTGAGGACACACATCTGCCCCCCACTGCCAGGCAGGAGGCAGGTCCACAGAATGCATAGGTGAACATCTATGCCAAAGCCCAGTGGAACATACTGTCATTGCTGTCTGTAGGAGGAATATCCACCCTTTAGGATTTTGTAAGTCGAGTACTTTCCCCAGGTTGATGAAACAGGGTGAGTCCTTAGAATATTCCCATGGAGACACATTGCATAGCAAAGATCTAGCAGGAATTTTGTGGGGCGGGCTGGAGGGCTCATGCTTTTGGACCAAGGAGCAGGCTGCAGCCTCCCCTTTCCTTCCCCTTCTAAAACGTCCGCTTCTTAATGGACCCGGAAAGCAGCTTGTTTGTTTGGTGCAGCTGAGCTCCACAGCAGGGACTCGGGTCCAGGGAAATTTGGGGTAAGAACTATTGACCTTTGGCTCTTAGCCTTTGACTTATGGTATCCAAGTTCCTTGGTAAATATTTTTTTTACAATTGCAAATATTGTTTTCTGACAAAGAAGCAGAGATTTTAAGACCAGATTAAGCAAAGCAAACAGCAGGCCCCTTTGTTACGTACTCTCTAAGGGTGTATAACTAATAAGCAATCAGAAAGCTGAACTCTTATTTACCCAGTACACAGTGTGGCTTTTGGCTCTTCGTTTTTAGAGGCTTTCTTAAAAGATTAGAAATCAACTAAATAGCAAATTTAAATGAAGATTTTAAGACGTTCTATGGAAGATTACAAGGCAATGTCAGGAGGAAAAGAGGCAGTGTTGCCCAGATGGCTTGTATTCAGAGCCTTGATATCGTGCCTATATCTTGATCACTGGGCAGTTTGGTAAACAGCATCTCTAAGCCTGACCTAATTTGGATAATTTTTAGGATAATATTTGTGAGAACAAGATTCACAGAGTTGCTTCTGAGCCTCATTGCTAAGATCATGATTTTGACAGGAAATAGAAAGTTGTTCAGAGAGAGGCTAGAAATGAATTGGTAGAGGTTGAAAATTGGCAAAAAAAGACTATTAGAAAAAGTTGGAAAACAAAGGAGAAAGGAGGCTGACCTATAGCTATGTGTCCCAGAGAGAGAAAAATTAAGGGAAGAGTACGATGATGTAGGAACCCCAACCAATAAATACAAATGTCTGGGAGACTTCAGTGCCTCCACTGGTTGCTTTTAAAGATTTTTCTCCATCCCCTGCCCCAGCTATGTCTCCCTCTCTGAGCTTTTCTGAGGCAGCAGAACCCTTCTGCCCTTAGCAGTAATGCCACTGAATACAGACCTCTGGGGTCTCCCTCCCCAATAGCTATGTGCTCCCAAGGCTTTGGGAACACAAGAAAGAGCTCTGGTCCTGAGAAAAGAATGCAGATCCCTCCTCTAGTGGAGAGACCCCCTTGGATTTCTGTTCTATCTCTGGTGTAATCTTGAGAAAATCTCTGGCACCCCAGTTTTGTCCGCTTAAAAATGACAATGTTGACCTTGATTCAGCACTTTGCAAACTGTGTTGCAACCCATTGGTGGGTCGTGAAATGAAATTAATGAGTCACAACCAGAATTTTTAAAAATGAAATAGAGGAGAATTTTAAAAATCACAGATTATATCACACATATTGCATTGTTTCATGGCATATTTCTTGGGTGACTGTGTGTGTGCATAATGAGTTTGTGTATGGAGGTTGCAGTGCAAAATATTTTTCTTCCTTGGACTGTAGTCATCGGCCTGGGTGATCTCCACAGGCCTTAACCCTTCAGCTTATCTGATTCTCCTCGGTGATGGTGTACCTATCATCCCTTAGCTCAGTAGAGTTGTACCTTGAGATCTCCATACACCAGAACATGAAAGCTTATTCTTCCCCCTACTCTTACCAGATGACTGAACTAAAAAAAAAAAAAAAAAAAAAAAAAAAAAAAAAAAAAAAAAAAAAAAAAAAAGGCACCTCCATAATTCCCCAGGTTTAAGGCAAAGCAACTTTTGATTCCTGGGTGGTAACCTTGGAAAGATACCTGCAGCCAAGGTCGAGAAGCTTTCCTCGTGTGAGAGGTTGCTCTGGCATGCTAGCCCCAGGTTGGCATGGAGGTTGGTTGGTACCTAGTGCAGGGGATTTGAGGGGCAATACAATCCATGTCTGAGAGACACAGAGACGGAGAGGAGGAAAGGCTGGAAGAGTGAGGGCAGCTCCTATGGTACCAACTAAAAAAGGCACTTGGGGCTGGACGTTCAGTATTTGTTATACAGAGGCAGCCTGGAGTGGTGGGAAGGAACAGTCCATACAGGCTGCCCTTTTTCAGGTGGAGGGGGCTGTCAGTGAATGTGGGAATGATCCCTCACTGCCTTTTAACCCATTAGCAAGTCCAAGATTCCTACCAGCCTGCTAACCAGGAGGTTTTATAATACCTGGAGAGCTCCTGTGTGCATGAGCAGAGGGAGGGAATAAAAGGTGAGGCCAGAATTCGATTTACTGGCTCCACAGGCCATTCCCCTTACCAGTTCCCAAGGATTAGGATGCTAAGAACAGCCGGCAACTGGGGGCCTTATACCCTTCCTGCCTTTTTGTTCCCTGGGATGGGAGGAACAATAAATCGGCAGGCTGGAGAGACTGAGGGGCCTGGTTAGAGATTTCTCAGGCTGCTTTTTGAAATACTTGAAGGAGCCAGTCTGTGCTATTGTTGTAGTAAAATACAAAGCGGAACTATTCTCCTTTTGCAAAAAGAAAAAAAGAAAGAAAGAAAAGAAAAAGAAAAAAAAAAGAAAGAAAAGAAAAAGTAAAAGAAAACCCACCCTCCCAGCATCTTCAGGAGGCTGCCTGGCTCAGGCCATTACCATGGTAATACTGAGCTGTTTGCATCTTCTTTGTCTGTCCTGCACTTGTGGAGATCCTGGCCTCATGGTTGGGCTCAAGACCCTGGAAATAGTTGGCTTCAAAGGAGAGGGAGCTCGCAGCCACCAGCTTCCTGATGGTTCAGACTCTGAGAGGGGCAGGTCCCAGCAGAGGGAGAGTCAGCCCTTTTGTGCAACTTAAGTGGGAAAGGTGGAGGGCGTGGGGGTGACTCCCATTAATGCTTTTCTCCTCTTGCCCTGAGTTCAACATGAAATGCCCAGCACCCACTGGGGGGAAGAGCTTAGAGTTTTGGCTGGCTCAGAGTAAGGCTAAGGGTGCCAGGGCCTAATGGAGAAAGGAAAGCAGGAGCTGGCTTTGGAAATCAGCCTTAATGGAGTGGACCCACAGAACCGCCTGGCTGCTGAAGGGAAAGGGGCATTTGCAGTGAACTCCAACCTGACCCATATTCTGCTCTGGTCATGTTCTTTGTTTCCCCAACAAGCCCCAAGTGTTGTGCCCTGCAGATCACAGCTGGGACCCCTGGGCCTCTGTGTCAGGCCAGGACTAAAGATTAAGATCCTGTAATTGAAAACAGCCAGACTGTGTTGCTGATGCTGCGGGAGGCCTAGGAAAAACCCAAGGCTGGTCTCTCCCAGAGCCTCCTTGGCCTTTGTGAGGCTCAGGGCAGTGGAGGCCTGCCGACTTAGTAAGGAAGCCGGGCTGGCCTGGGAGAATGAAGAGGGGCTCCTTATTCACTCTTCCTTTGCCCTACTCTCTCCATTTCCTCAGGAATCTAGCGAGCATTTGAAAATCAAGTGCCAAGTTGTTAGGGACAGAAAATAATGCCTTAGTTTCTCAGTAGGGCAGAATTGTGGTTTTTATGTTGTTTTTTAAAAAATTAAAATGAGGTATGACAGGTTGAATTTGGATTCTGGTGCTATCTTCTGCTAGTTTAGTTCTGAATGAGCAGCATAAACCTTGGGATGGGGCTAAGGAATCTTAGGGGAGCCCAGGGCACCCTGAGATGGGTCCAGAGACAATTCTGCAAATGAAGCTAGTTTCCTGTTTTTCCAACCACCTACTTAGGGACTCAGAAGAAATCAGAAAACAATGAAACAATGATTTTTCTTAAGGGCTGGATAGCTATGTACCTCATCTTTCTTGTAAAATCAAGAATGTTTGTTTGATCGCCTTTTGAAGCTTATTGGGAGAGGCATTAATCTCCCCTATTTGTTCCCTTGTCACAAAATTGGGTTGGATTCTTCCACCCCATTTTCTTAGACCCTGGGCCAACTGGGTGATTTATTAAAAAATTCTTTTCCCCCAAATACCACCATCTACATTCATCAGATTTCAGTTTGAATTAGTAACACATCTAAATGTTTTCTGCCTAGTGGACTCAAAGTGACCCAGAAGATTCTCAATC